GGCCCAGAGCAGGAGGCATACAATGCTGAGAGGGGAAATGACAATTCTTTTGTAATTAAATGCACAAGGTTTGTAAACAATGCTGATATCTTTAAAAAGTACACATTTTAAAAACACTTTCATGTGCCAGTCTTTGAGCGTGTGTTAAAAGCAGCGAGTTATGTTGTGGTTGCGTTGGATTAAGATCCTTCTTTCCGCAGGAAGTGTTTGCAGTCACCCCATGTTCGGCAGAATTGAGTTTGTTTAAGATAAGAAATAGAGGAATGTCTGTGCTGGGTTGGAGCCCTGGACAAAATACACTGATCTCCTGTTGCCTGAGAAGAAAATAAAGCTCCTCTAATAAGTGCTTACATAAACACACCCAGAGGTGAAAGTGTCTTCTTCACCCCCAGGCAGAGAGTGGTTGGGTTTGTCCTTCCAGGTGAGGGCTGGAGGGTCATAACGTGTGGCTTATCCACCTCAAGGGCTTGGTTTCTGGAAGACACTAAAATCCTGATAGCAGGGAAATTAGATAGGAAGATAAAAGATTGCTTTTAATATTGTAAGCGAGGAATGATAACCTGACAAGATGCTGTCCTTAGATAAGTCTTGACCTCAAGAATCTTCCTTTTACTTTGCTGCCTGTGGGGATTTTTGCCTGTCTCAATCCCTGCTCGCTGCTGCTGCCGTGTGTTCTGCAGTGAGAGAGCTTTTCCTGGAGGCAGAAGGAGTTAATGCAGAATTGGATGACAGATTAGTCTGGGACAGGCTGTGATTTGGAGTGAGAGAACTATCCCAAATAGCTGGCCAGCTGCCAAGGGGATAGACTGGTTTGGAAAACACATCGGCAGAGCAGCGGCGTCCTCTGGAGCAGCTCTGGGTGAGGATTATCTGTCAGTTCAACTGCTGTGCTGTACAGTCTGACTGACACACACACACAGTGCCTTCAGTTTGTATAAAGAAAAACGATTAGCAAACACATGTTTTATCTCTGGGCTGCTAATAAATTGAATAAGAAACTCCTCTTTTATTTCCCTCCAGTGTGTGTAAAAAAATAGGGAAAAATATTTTGATTAGAACATTTCCACTCCCTTTTCTTTTCTTTCTCTCGGCGCCGTTCTCCAGCCAGCTGTTGAGCTGATGAGGAGAGTGGAAGGGCTGTGAGAAGGGAGATTTTTCTGAGCATCAGACACATTTCTATGGGAGTTGAATGATTCAAAATTGAGTTCCACATAATTTACCAGGGATCTCTTGCAGTACAGATGAGAAGCCTGTCAAGCAGTGGTGCAGCTGAAGAGGTTATTTCCGTCTTAACTCTCCTGGGCACAGCTGGTAGGTGGGATGTTTCAAAAAGGGGAAATTAAGAGTCAGGATATGATGATTGAGCACCCCACGATACCAGATCAGCATTTGGGCTTTTCTGGGTATATAAAAATGCTACTGTACTTTTGAATTGTGAATTTTAATTATTGCAGGCAATTAAAAACTGCTTTCTTTTTTTTTTTTTTTTAACCAGCCATTTGGTGACCTAGATGACACGAGTGAATGGCCTCAGTCCATTTCTCTTTGAACAAGGAGCCACGCTGAAAATATTGCCATTACACTGAACTTCCTCACTGGCAGTCTCTGCCCAGAGGAGGAGGAGGACTGAAAGGGTTAGAACAGCCAACTTTCTTTCAAGTCCTTCTTTCTGGAAAATTTGCTGCTATTGCTCATGTCTGCCAGAGCAACACCAAGAGCATTAGCAAAGGCAAGACGTTGGGGCAGCTGTGACTGCTGGGGTTGTCAAAACCTGCTGATCCCTTTGCCAGGAGACACCTGAGGCTGTGTCTGTCCTGGCATACTCCGTGTTGCTTGAGTGGAGCTCTACAAGTGGGAAAGGCCCCAGACAAAAGGCCAGTGTTGACATAGTTGTGGTCTCTCCAGGGCATGGTTGAGACACATCACTAGGGTGGTATGAGGGGAAGTTTCCATTAACAATTGTTCCCGGCTTGCATCCACCACCACCACCGTGGGGTTCTGCAGCTGGATCTCCAAAAGAGCTCAATGCTCAAGAGCTCTCATTTCAGCAACTTAAATAGAGGGGCTAAGTTCTTTCCAAAACACTTGGCAGTCGTCAGCCCCCATTGAGAACAAAGCTTAAGCACATTAAACAGTCCAGCCACTTCACTGCTGAGAAAATTTGGCTGCGGTTGGGAGCACAGAGTGTTTAAATAACACAGAGCCTGGCAAAGGCATCTGGCTCCCAGTGCTGGGCAGTGAGGTGCCTCACCTTGCCTGGCCCTGGCAGCTGGCAGAGTGGGCTTCCTCCTTGGCTGATTCCTTGTGCATCACAGCCTCTTACCAGCCCTTTTCTCTGGATGTTGTGACAGCTGGGAAGTTTGCTGATGCGAGGATTAGTCGGCTGCCGGGCACATGACGCTGAGATTGCTGTGCTTATTTGACCTGCCTCTGATTGCGAGGAATTTTAGTGCATAAAAATAACACCCAGAACGAATTTGGCAGAAGGATGCACAGCGAGAAGTGCCGTGCACACACGGGGAGAGGAGCTCGGGGAGCGATGTAACGCGAGGCCGCTGCGCTCCTGCAGTGCCAGCAGTGCCAGCAGTGCCAGGGCCAGCGCTGCCCACGCCGTCGTCTTGGATTACGGAGGGTTCCAGCACCACGGAGATGCCGTGGCCATTGGCCAGTAAACTAATGAAGACAGGTTCCTGGCTTGCATTACTGGCAAAAACTTGATTGAATAAATAAAAAGATGCCGAGTGCCAGGAGCTGCCTCACGTCAAACGCTGCGCGAGGCAGTGCTGGTTCTTCTGCTCGGGGCTTGTTAACTCTGTTCTCAGGGGAGCTCCTGATGGTTTGCAGGAGCATGGCAGGACAGAGAGTTGGCCCACACAGGCTGAGGGGTGTGTGCCATGTGGCTGTAGGGGTATCTTACAGGGCAGTGCTCTTTGGGCTCCTCAGTGTTCAGGTGTGTGGGTGGTTTGTTCAGGCTTTGCTCTAGAACAGCATTCTTGAACGAGCTTCACACTGGCACTGGGACATCTTGTGTGTTGGCTCTGGAGTTGTGAAAGCTCCTTAGGCTGGGGGAGATGAATGAAATGTGTGCACGTAGGAAGCCAGGCAGGATCTTGTTTGCCATAGGTTCTTCTCCCAGGTCACCGTGGAGATGCATCACTCTTTATTTTGCTGTTGCAAATAAGATGCAATGCCTCGATTTCCCGTGTTTAAAAGGAGTATTTTTGCCCTTTTTCTGAGTGATATTGTAATATTTCTTGAGGCCAATGATTACAGAGCTCATGTAATTGTGTAATATGGCACGTTACAGATAAATGATAATATGCAAACTTATACTGTGTATCAAGAACTTCAGCAACGTTTAAATACAGGCTCTTTTGCGTGGGGCAATTGGAAAGCTGGGGTAGATTTCACAATCCACTTGACTTTTAGAAACACCATGTGTGCTCACCAGAAATGTAAAAGTATTCAGCTCTCACATCTTGCTTCATTTTTATCTGTATTACAGAATTTGCCCAATTTGTGTGTGGATGTGTCTGTGTATTTGTGTACCTGGCTGCTCTGGTACAGGCATTTAAAGGAGCCTTTCCTGTGTTTCATCCTTTCCTCTCCCTCCCTCTACCATAGCCGTAGATATATATTTTAATAACTTTGATCCTCCTTTTCTCTTCTCCCCAGCCATTACCAGCCTTTCCTGAAAGCTGATTTTATCAGCTTTAAATAGGAGTTACAAAAGACAAAGCTCTCCCTTAGCAAGCCCTGGTTTGCACAACACAATTCCCTGGTGCCTTTTCCATGTGATTCCAATATTGTTGCCACGATCTTCTAGATTAAAATAAAACTTACATTGTTAACGCTGGCCTTGGTTTGGAATTAGAAATGACATTTAATGTTTACCATTTTACACCCTAAATATTGCAGATGTGGGCACAAAAAAGGAAATATTATACAGTCACAGGATGTTTTTGTAGTTATAAAAGCTGTCAGATGGCTAAAGTCAAAGTGAATTAGCAAATAGCCAAAATTATAAAAGAATATCTGCTTCAATCAGAAGTCCTCCCTCTGAAGTCTGTGAGGCTTCTACTTCTGAGGCATATGAAAACTTCTGAAAATTCTGCCCCCAGGGAAGGTCCATGTTTAGGCAGCTGACTTCAGGATCCTATTTTTGGAACCTTTGGTTGAGATTTTAAATTGGATTTTTAGTGGGAATGGTGCCTGAATTGGTGCTGTGGGATCTTGAAGGCTGTATCTAAGATTAAAAAAAAAAAAAAAGAAAAAAAGAAAAATGGGAGGGCTAGCATTCATTCTCTGGGGCTAGGTTCCTTTTTATTAGATTTTATATATCATAAAAGAAATGCAGCATCAGTAAGTGTTCTTTCATTTTTGCAGAGCATTTTTAAGGAGTTGTAGCCTTTCATGTTGCTGGTTTCCTTCATTGTCTTTTACAATATCACTGGTAGGATTTCATAGAGAATTGATAGAGGTCTTCTTGGAGTGCTTCAGCACAACTGAAAGTACACTCTCATGAGATGCTGTCCATGGCAAAAACTGTACATTGATTGTAAACTAAACATACTCCTAAAGGTGTATGTGAAGAAATCTGTGCCTGAGATAACCAGGAAGGGTTGCAGTGTGGTGGGTAAATCTGAAGCAAAGTACTTATGACTTGTTCCTGAGGATGGGACCCTACTGAAGTGGCACAGGTTGGAGCAATGTATCTTCTGCCTGCAGTCCAGTGCACTCAGTGTTGGATGAAGTGATCTTATGTGGGCATCCAAGATTAGGAGCTGGAAATAGGAATATGAAGGTGTGAGCATGTCTGGATCTGAACATGCACCCTAGTGAACAGGCAATGTGATATTTAGCAACGCAGATACCGAATTCTCAGGGAAAGCTTAAAGAATCATTGCTTTTGAACTGTGTGGAGATCTTCTAAAATCCCTGCTCAGTGATATTATTTACATACTTTTCTGACATGGCTGTATTTATCTGCATTTCTGCAGGTCAGATCTTGCCAGCAAACCGAAACACACCGAGTCCCATTGATCCTGAGACTATCCAAGTCCCTGTCGGCTACGAACCCGACCCTGCAGATCTTGCTCTTTCCAGTATTCCTGGCCAGGAGATGTTTGATCCTCGTAAGCGCAAGTTCTCTGAAGAGGAGCTGAAGCCCCAGCCCATGATTAAGAAAGCTCGCAAAGTCTTCATCCCAGATGACCTGAAGGTAAATTGGAACTGGTGACGAGGCTGTTCCTGCAGGGCCTCTCACAGTCACTGTCTGAGGTGCAGGTTTGAGTGTGAATCTGTTTTCTCATGTGAGGTAAATCTGTTTTCTCGTGTGAGGTAAATCTGTTTCCTCGTGTGAGGTCAGTCTGTTTTCTCGTGTGAGGTAAATCTTCCAACCTAACCACAGCTCTGTTGTAGGATGAAACTGTTAACGGTTCTGAATGAGACTGGCAGGAGGATGTCCCTTATTAGTTATGCAACAGTTGAAATTCATGAGCTCAATATTCATTTCCTTTGTATGCCAGAAACTTCCTGTGTGACCTTGGATGAGCTTCCTTTGTCCCATATTTCCCACTTATGAAACAGCCTGATCATGTTTCCTTCTTCTTCATGTTCTGTTTATTCAGCATAGATTGTGAATTCTTCAGGGAGGAATCCATCTCCTTCAGGGTCCATGGAGCACCCTGATGATAACAGAATGAAGTGTATTGTGTATTGTTTGGATGGTGCTTTAGCTCTGTGTTTAATAATGAATGGGAACACTACAGTAAACACTGCATTTCACTAATATATATTCACTAATCCAGGTGAAAGAATCATAGACAAGTTGTAGGAAAACAGAACAGAATTATTCAGATGAGAGGTGTGTTTTTAATACAGTAGTTAAAATATAATACTACCACAATATTTAAAAAGAATGAGCACCCTGTCTGTGCCACTCACTGCCTCTGAGACGTGAAGAGCAAAGAACATGAAGACAGCAGGAAAATCGATCAACTGATCCAGGTTATCAAACACTGTGAAAATTATTATTTGCAAGATTGTTTTCCCAGTATGTGCTTTCCCAGAAGATCTTTTTTATCAGAGGCAGTCAGTGCAGAATTTCATTCTGTTGTTGCTGCTGCCCCCAAGACACACACTGAGAGCCTGCTGGAGTGTGGGAATCCCTGGCTGCACGTGCACAGAGCCTGGGATGCCATGTGTTTGCACCAGATTGATAGCATTAGGGAAAGAGGCTATTTTTATCCCTAAGGATACTGTGGTGCAAGTTAAGAGCACAGAAATCACAACTCAAGGAGTGTTCAGGTGGTGTGTTACTGTTGCTTTGTAGTATCCTCATCTTTCCTTTGCAGAGGTTTTTCTGCACCTTGTTGCTTACCTGGGTGATCCCTGTTGGGTTGCAGTGTTTGGAGTTCTGCTTAGAGAGAGCTGTTTGTCACAGGCATGGCTGTGCCATTCCTCACTCTGTCCTGTCTCCCAGGTATCCTTATTCATCGCAGCAAACTTCTGGCAGAGGTGCTTTGGGCTCCAGATGTGGCTCCCAGCAGCGCCCAGGGTGCAGCAGTGGGGCACTTAGTTTCCACTCGAGAGTGAACTAAAAGTTCAGGGTCTCACATTCCCTGGGGATAATCCCCTGGGTTGCCCTTGACTCGTTTCAGAGCGCTTGACCCACGCGCTGCCTCTGCCCTGGCATGTGGAGCGGCCCTGGGTCCTGGGGGAGGGTAAGCAGATTAGACCAGTCAATCGTCTCTGGGCTGCATGTGATTTGGAAATGCCAGCCTTACCTCTTTCAGGCCTGGATTAAGGGATTTGCCATAGCAATTTGTTAAAATAAAGAGGGATGAAGCCTAGGTGGCACACTAATAAATTGCTTAAAGCTGATTTTTATGGAGTGGAATGAGATGGGAAATTATAAACAAGATTTGGGTCATAGCTTTTTGCTGCGTGCTTGTTTTTAAGAGGATTTTTGGGGGTCCCATCTAAGTACAGGTGAAGAGCAATTTAGAGATAGCACTGGCTCCAAATCAGCATTGCTGCACACCTTGTTGAGCCAGACTGATAGAAAGCAGTTCAAGAGTCCTCCTGCCAGCAGTTGTTTTGCTCCTGCTTTGCCTTAAGGAAGCAGCAGCAGAAGGTGCAGAGCAGCAGGATTAGGCTGGGAGTGCTCCAGGCTGAAGGACCCAGGAGTGGTGGGTGTTTGTGTGCTCAGTGCAGCGTAGGAGCAGCTGGGTCCTGTGCCCTGTGCTGGGCATGGTGCTGTGCTCCCATGCTTGGGAGCTACACAGGGAAATGGAAGCATATTAAAAAGGAGGGGTGACCTTGGGAAGAGAATTTTGACCTGTATGACCTGGCCAGGCAGTTTGAGGGTGAATGGCTGCATCACTCTTACTCTGCAGGGGGCTGAATTTCACTTTTCCTGAGAGATTCAGCCCACTTTGTATTTACTGAGTTGTTCCAAATTT